AAAAAAAAAAAAAAAATAATAATAATAATAATTATAACGCGTATACAAGTTATGCTTGATTATTTATTCAGCCATATCTCAGAACAGGGGTGAATATCGAGTTTTCTTCAATGATGAAGAGCAATGTTGGACCTGTATAAGTAGTAACTACGGAGTAGGGTCGTTGGTGCCCCAGGCAAGAATCTGTCGGAAAAACCTCTTCGACATCCCACTTTGCCCTTTGTCAATTTCCGTGAGTCAGTCATCTGCCATCGCAGTATTGCGTGAGAAAATTAATTACATCCCCAATTTGAAAAGAACAGAGCGACACGACTTTCTATTATTAACCACATTCAATCATCTACCATGGCTACCAAGGAGGCTAAGTTGGAGCTCCTCCGGGAGAATTTGGCCGAAGTGCTCAATCCGGAAATCATCGATGAGGTTCTGGATAAGGGCGAGACCCTGCGGATTTACTGGGGTGAGTCTTCTTTAGTGATTTGCTGCGATGCTGCGATGCTGCGATTGTACATGTTTGCTGCGATTTCATGTATCCGGTGTTGACTCATGATAGGAACCGCCCCGACGGGCAAGCCTCATTGCGGATACTTCGCCCCTGTATGCCTACCCTATCCAGGCTACATTTGACATGTCTAACGAAAGTAGATTATGAAAATCGCCCAGTTCCTGCAAGCAGGATGCAACGTCAAGATCCTCCTGGCCGATGTTCACGCCTTCCTGGATAACCTCAAGGCCCCCATTGAGCTGGTTGAATATCGGGCCAAGTACTACCGCTACTGCATCATGGCTCTGATGCGGGCTGTAAATGTGCCCATTGAGAAGTTGGAGTTTGTTTTGGGTAGTTCCTACCAGATGTCGGCGGTAGGCCTTCTCTTCCCTTTTCCCCCCATCCCCCTCTCTTTCGATTGAATGGACATGCTGATTGATTAGAAATACACAATGGACGTTTACCGGTTGGCTTCGCTTGTGACGGAACATGGTATGCGCCCTATGTCTAATTCTGTGTTGTATAATTCAAGCTGATTCTGTCCAGACGCCAAAAAGGCTGGTGCCGAGGTTGTCAAACAAAGCCAGAACGCACCTATCAGCGGACTTATGTACCCGCTTTTGCAAGCACTTGATGAGGAGGCATTGGATGTCCACGCTCAGTTTGGTGGTGCTGACCAGAGAAAGATTTTCGGTAAGTTCGGCCCCCACCCCTATGCATATAGATCACAACGAAACTAACTAATCTATCTAGCACTTGCTATGGAAGTATGTATTTATACCGCTGGTCCTCGAACCATTTTATACTAACTGAATAGACCCTCCCCAAACTCGGCTACAAAACTCGTGCTCGTAAGCTACAAGCCCCTCATCATGTTTTACTTTCCCTACAGTTGTGGAATACAATGCTGACACACTTCACGATATCATGAATAAAATGGTCCCAGGCCTGGCTGGTGGTAAAATGTCTGCCAGCGACCCTAACTCTAAGATTGACCTTCTCGACACGCCTGACGTCTCCGCGCGTAAGATCAAGAAGGCCAATGCTCCCCCGAAGGTGGTAGAGGAAAACGGTCTCCTTGCCTTTGTGGAGAACGTGCTTCTTCCAGCTAGCTCGCTGCTTGATGGTGAGCGGTCGTTCAAGGTTGACCGGGAGGGCGCAGAGCCGCTTGTGTACGGGGACATCGAGAGTTTGAGGAAGGACTATGTTGATGATGTGGTATGTTTTCTGACTTCCAGTGAAATGATTGGGCTGATTATGCTAACCTTTGTGATAGCTTACTCCTCAATTGCTCAAACCCGCCGTCAACCTCGCGCTCCGCCGCCTCCTCGACCCTATCCAGAATGAATTCAACTCTTCTTCCGAGTGGCAAGAGGTATGCACATCCCTTTCAATCTCACTCCCTCTCAAATCCAACGCTAATCATGAAACGCAACAGATTGAAAAGAAGGCCTACCCTGCGGACGCTCCCAAGGAGAAGAAGCAAAAGACCAAGAAGGACAAGGGCAGCAAGTACCCCGGCGCTGCCAAGGCCGAAGAGCAGGCTGAGCAGGGCAAGGAGCCGTCCCAGGCTACGGCTTCGGATGTGGGCAAGAGTGCCAGCGAGGCGATGGATAAGTTGTCTGTTCAGTAAGCGGGTTGAGTATGGATGATGGATGATTCAATGAGTAAATGAACGAGAAGGGGAAGAGGGAAAATATTATGCCAAATAGTTTCATGAATGTAAAAAAGCATTGCTTGGTACTCTGCACTGTACACCGTGGATTCGAGATACATTGAGTTACAAATTACTCCCAAGAATAGGACTATGCAGTAATATTCCAGTACGGTGTACAGACTACAGAGTACTCCGTAGTTAACTATTGTCGTATTCTTATGCTGCCTGGGGCAACTGCACGTGGCAGCATGTGGTACTGTGGCTGTGTGTGGCTGGTGTTTGTGCTTGATTCCGGAAGCAAAAATTGTATACTTATTCCATGTCATTTAGAAGATAGAGTGTCGTAACCAACTACTTGTCTGCTGCTGAAGATGACAACTTGCGTTGATTACTATCCCAGTTGTCACCGCTATCCCGGACCTGCGCTTTGTTTGCATCCCTGACACCGAGTCTCCTTGCATGGAGCGACCGTCAGGGGAACAACCGAGTCTACTGATCGGACTGGATACATCTTCTCACCATGGGGCAGAAGATTAGCACTGAACTGACCCATCTTCATTACCCTTTATCCAGACCGTCGAGTCTCACTCTTATCTTGTCCGGGCAAGTCCTAATTCGGAACAGTTACCCGTTGCAGCCAATTCAATTCAGCCTCTATTGCCATTACAACCGGGGGCTCTACAGGCAGGGAACAAAGTACGATAGCCTAGCCGGAATGACGCCTAGAAAATAAGCTAGGCTAGGGTACGGGGCACGGCGAAGCACAGGACAAGACCCAGAGGGTCACCCCTCCATCCATCCCCGGGGAGACATACGACCTACTCTTTCCGGCGAAATCCTGAATCATTCGGTGGACGCTGAGTAGCTGAAGAGATCCCGCGCTGGACCGTCAGACCATTCTTAAACGCTGGTTGATTCGTACTCGGAGTTTACAGACTTTGGACCAGGATCGGAGGGAGAATTGTGATTTGCGAGTGATTGAGGCTGGGGGAAGGGGGTTCCGAAATGAAGCCGGTGATTGCGAGAGTTATACGGACGGCAATGGTTCATGGTCGATCCATGGGCCGGAAGTGGTAATTGTATGTTTTCATTTGCGTAGGAGTCTACAGAGGAGGAGTACTGTACAGAGTACTCTGTACAATCGTGATATCTCTGCTCTGCTCTGTTCTACTCTGTAAGAGTACTCAAACTGTATAGCTTCGGAGTAAGCTGTTTAGTTCATTCCATAGTCATAGTTCATAGTTACTTGTACTCACTGTCCCTCGTCACCGTAAGCTGTCATCGATACCAAATAATGAATTCATAAATCTACTCCGTCCAGTGGATCATCGTTTCTTTTCTTGCGGAGAGCAATAAAACCAACTGTTGGATCGTTACGAAATTTACAGGACGACCACAAAAAATTCCTCTCGCTTGCTATTTCTTTCAACACTTTTCTTTCTTTCTTTCTTCTCTTTTATACCCTCGAATTGATTGACACTCTTTGACTAGACGACTCGGAAGAATAGTACTCTGTAATTATTCTCCCTTTGTCTGTCGTAAGGGCAGCTCCAGAGCTCCGATTGAAAGACAGCCTCATCCCTCGACGTTTGTCTCCCTTCCTTCCTTTACTACACTTTTTGCTTCTATTCTCCTACTCTACCTATCGTTCTGTCAATCTAACTGAGATAAAGAACTCTACCAGAACCAACGATGTCCAAGCCTATCCTTTAAAGACGAGCCCAACGAGTCCAACGACAACGACAACGACCAACGAGTCCATTCAACCTTTATTCCCTCCTTCGATCGATTGATTCTTTATAACTCCCCGGCTTGGCTTCAATGATCGACTCCTATCTCTGGCTTACTCATTCGTCGTCGTCGTTCCTCGATCCCTTTCGCACCCTTCCTCCCGAGCATTCCTCGCTTCCCCAAGTATCTGGAAGGCCTCGGACTAGGTTGCCTGGCACCTCGCTTTGAATGGTTGCTGGGTTCTCGCTGCTGCTGACATGAGTTTTGATCAGCCCGCCCATAGGTATGTCCTTATTTACTCCTGGCTTCTCCTTTCTTCACGATTTCAGCTGTCAATTACTTGCGGGGGTAGTGGACATCGTTGTTCTATACTGAGATTCTCTTGAATGCCACATTGCCTTCAATTGCCTTATACCGTCCTTCCCCCCCCTCCCCCCCATTCACTTTACTGTCTTTACGATGAGGCTGATGGGGCGTTTCTTCAATTTCAGCTTCAACCATCCCAGCGGTGAACCTACAACCCCCACGAGGACTCCTACGCTCTTTGGCGATTCAACCTTCCAAACACCCAAACTCGAATCCTCCTTTTACGATCCTCGAGTCACCTGGGATACCTCCGATCCGTATGCCTCCAGTCCCGAGTTCCTTCGTACACCTCAGCGGTTCGGCTTGAACACCCCCTCGAATCCTCTCCGACAGACCGATGGTGCTGACCATTTGAGAAGTGGTATCAAGGTGGAGGAGACAGACACGGCAAGGCGTATCCGTGCCATAAAACCGAATGGTGGAGGATCTTTTGGTGATGATGGTCCCAAGTCGGCCAAGTCGGCGGCCTCCATGCAGACTCCACCCCCGAGCAGTGCGTCGAGGAGGAAGGTGACCGGGTTGGAGGATGATAGTGCCCCTGGTAATCACTTGGAAACCCCAAGTCGTTTTATGGGCTCGTCTCCACGGATGCTTGCACATCTTCAGTCATCTCCCGATCTGTTTCAGCTGGGAACACTCGATCCTTCCACATCGCCATTCCTACCACAAGCAAAGTTGTTCTGGGATGATCACCTTGATCACCAACAACCGGGGAGTGATGTGGGCTTGTCAGGTACATCTAATGTAGACTTATCTGGCTCCAATGGGAGCAATACTTTGAATTATCCGACTAGCGCCAGTGCTATGCATGATCCTATCATCCCACAATTACCAGCCATTGAAGGCACGGTAGACTTGCCCGAGTTTCACGGTAGCGGGTTCACCCTGCCGTCTACCACCACGGCCACTGCCGGCCCAGCAGACGCAGCTTTCTTCCCTGCCCCCTTCTCGACCTCGCCTCGTCTGCCATCGACACGGGCTGAAGACCCGGCCATGTTTCTCAGTTCTCCTGCACGACGTTTCGGTGGACCACAACCTACGCCAGAGAAAAAGCGTCTCTCCAAACCAACTCGACAACCGTACCACCACCAGACGGAAGAGTCCAAACGGGAGCAACTGCGTCGGGCCCAGAGCTTGCACCGAATGCAACCGCCATACGAAGACGAAGCTGACGAAGACGATGAAGATTATACACCTCGCGGAGTCAGGCCAGGATTAACACGGAGTCTGACTCAGAGCTCTCTGTCATCGTCTTCACACCGGCCTACATTGGGGAGTTCCAGCGGTGCGATGACTTCCAGTAGCGGAATTCGGAAGAGCCCATCCAAGGGTCGGTTGTCGCCTGTCAAACAGAGAAATACACTGAGCCGGTCCAATTCCGTGGCTTCATCTTTTCCGACCCGTTCACCCTCTGTCGTATTGAAAATTGGCAAGGATGGACGGGCAAAGGCGGAGATGCAAACCGTCCCCGAAGCCCCAACTGGATTGACAGACCCCATTATCGGACTGGACCTTGAAGGATCGACCACGGAGAGCGAATATGACGGTGCTGAGTTCTCAGAGTATCCTGTCCCCAGCCGTCAGCCTTCGTTTACCTTTTCTGACGCCGGTCGGCCTATGCTTGCTCGAAGTGACTCGGGTTCCCGGCCAGTTTCAAAGGGGTCGTACACTTCGACCGTGGCTTCTGGTCCTTCTGGGCGAGCCTCTCCATGGCAAGGTTCCTCTCGAGGTGGTTCTCGACGACCCCAATATTCGTCATACAGACCTGCCTCGTCAGATGACTGGAGACGAACGCCAAGCAAGCGACAGACTCCTGTGCTGAACTCTGATTTTACTTGTGCTAGCAGCAGCTCTGCCTCGGATGCTCAAGCCGAACCTGAGGAAGATTCCGGTGATGCCCAGCATGCCCTTCGGAAGGTTCTCCGTGAGCGAGGTCGGAACCCACGGCCACAGATGACTAGCTACGGGTCTCGGCCGACCTTGTCTTCACGTCCTCCTTCCATGATACATCTTCGCTCATCGCCGCCTCGATTCGGTGCTGAATTGGATATTAACTCTCGGCATGCACCTTCGTCTCCAACGACCATGACGGATCCTGATCTCGCGACTCCTATTACCAATCGGTTTAGTAACTATCCGAGCAATGGGACCCGATGCGTCTGCAATTCTATGGAAAATGGTGGCCATCTCATGATTCAATGGTAAGTACTCTTCTATACTCCCTGTTTGACTCGTTCTAACCCGAACAGTGAATCATGCAATCATTGGCTTCATACAAAATGCGTCGGTCTCGAACGGTCCCATCTACCTTCGGTCTACGTCTGCATGCTCTGCGCCCAGACCCCGTCACGACAACGCGTCCGTGGTTCATTAGGAGTCACTGGGCAAGCACCTCCTTCTCCTCTCGCACACAAATCTTTCCGATTCCGCTAAACAGTCCATGTCATATGGACCTGCTCCGAACATACTGTTCCAACCTCTCATGTGATGACGCTGCACGGCAGCTGACAAAGATTCCGGCCTTTCATTTGTTATGATTTTGTTTATTCTGCATCAGGATTTTTTTTTAGACATACCCCTTTTATTTCATGCTCCAAACAAACTATTGCATGCATCATTGTTTTATGCTATTGTCATTACTCTAATATTTCCTTCTGTCCGAGGCAACCCTCACTGTGATACCATTGTATGCTACATTAGCAAAGTACTATCGAATAGTTACACAAGTCAGCTATTCTCTTCTACAGGGTACCAGGGGTACAAAGTTAGAAAAATAAAATACTGCCGTCGCTATGCGAAGGCGGTCAAAATGACCGGGTAGTACCCCGACTGGCCGACCCGGCTTATCAGCTGACCGCCTCCGATAACAGGTTGTTTTACGCCCTCCGAAAGTCATATTTTGTGAAATTCCCCGCGGTGTTTTTTCTTGTACAGTCCACGCTTTTGCAATTGTCGCCATGACTTCGTCTGTTCCTGGGAATCGCGAACTCCCCGCGTCTCAGTATGACCTGAGCACATACTGGGGCCGCGTGCGCCATTCCGCAGACATCGCGGATCCAAGGTGAGCATTCTGTACCCTTGCGATTGAGTCACTTGGCCGTTTTTCGGTCAATGGACTTCGTTGTTGAGTGAACAAAGCTGATAATGGATAAGGATGATGTTCGTCTCGTCGTCGGGCCTCGAAAATGCAAAGAACCTTATCACTTCCTACAAACAGAGCCAAATCCCTAACATGACCCCGGAACTATGGCGCGCAAAGAAGGTGGTGGACTCGACAATCCATCCTGGTACGCCTCGCCCCTGTGAGATTGGATAAAGATGGATGG